ATCGAGAAGTTGACGCTGGGCGACATCCAACGCGAAGCGGCGAACGAAGGCGTTCCGAACTTGCTGTCCGTGGAGAGCAGCACCAAGGGCAATATCAACTGCAAATATGTCTGGGTCTGGAAGCGTGGGAGCTTGTCATGCAGATTTTCCATGACCCATGAGGTCTGGAATGCAGGACCTGGCATGACAGATTCGCTGAGATCTATATCATGCCGGTCCTGCACGAGAAACTCGCTCTCAACTTGTTCAAAGGTGGACAACTCTTGGCAGTCATGCAACACAGATTTTTCCAGGGTGTAGACTTGGCATCACAAGTTACTGCCTTCCAGACCCAGACATATTTGCAATGCATAGGCAAGTGGTGGATCCAACTGAAAGATCCGAAGGCCCTGCAGATCTTGGCGATCATTGACCCGAATGGGGTGAGGAACTTGCAGGCCGACTACGAAGACCGACACTCGTACCCAGGATGAAAAAGGCTGTCGTGTTAGTGGAACTTTTTTGTGATAAAAACAGCATACACGACAAATATCCATCGATCTCCCGGTTGGACAGCAAAAACTTGTCATGCGCAGATAGTACGCGAAAACGCAACACTTTATGGGACTCGCCTACGATGCTTGTCGAGCATGAGAAGCGAAGATACCTGTTAATTCGTGTTTCGCTGCGCAAGAATGCAACACAAACAAGTTACACTTCACTCTCATCACTTTTTTTCTTGCATAGCTCGCGGCTCTTCCAGGAGAAGTGGCAGGAATACTTGCTGGGAAAGACAGATTTGCGGGAGATGCCGCACGATTTCCAGAATTTGCGGAACGTTTTGTTTGATGTGAGCAGCAGCGACTCGTCAGGTGGGAGTAGCAGCTCGGCAAGTGGCAGCTCGACAGAAGACTCGTCTTCTTCAGCTGCGGAGGGGGACGTCGAGAGTAGTAACCCGTCCGAGGCAGAAGGGGGGGCAAGTAGTAGGAACGCGGGTGACGGTGTTAACAACAACGGCCTAGTTGTCGTCGCTCCATCAACCTCCGCCGGCACGACAAACGCAGGACCACAAGACCCGGCCAGCAAAGTGGTTTCGTTTGAACAAGGTGGAGGTGATCAAACTCTTGCAAGAACTACATCTATTCCCCCAGCAGCACCAACCAACAGCAACGCCAAAGCATATCCATCGCTCCCAGTGTTGAGAAAATCGGATTTGAAGCCGATCACGGTTTGCCTGTCCGCGTTCTCCAAACACACCCACCTTTCCGACGTGGACAGCTTTATGCGTGGGAAAAAGGCGAACCCGGCGGACATTCTGGCCTTCAATTTGAAGGCGGAGGAGCCGAAGATTTTGAAGAAGTTCGAAGAAATGGAAGAGACTAGGAGAACGGAAGAAATGTTGTTCTTAAAAAATCGCGCACTGGAAGAGGAAAAGGAAAGACGTGAGACTAGTACAGCTGCTGGCACCGGTAATTATCGTACTAACCCTCAACCGGGTACTAGCCCTAGCGCGTCTGGCTCAGCTGCAAATGAGAGGATCATGTCGGGTGCGAACACCAACGGCGATGTAGAAGATGTTGGGCAAGAACATCTACTTGATTCCACAGCGAGACGCGAAGAAGGAGCAGGTCAACCACAAGCAGCGGAGGAGGAAGAACAAGAAGAAAAAGAAGAGCAAATCTTCAACCCTGAGCCCATCAAGCAGCAGGAGATCCTGCACTCCGAGACGTTATGCAAGCTGTATTTCCGGGCCACGACCTCGAAAATGCCTTTTGGGCAGAAGTACGAAGAGAACTTTTACGGACCCATCCCGAA